CCCAAAAATTCTGAATGAAATTGTCTTCTTTTGCCCAGGATGGCCTTACAGTGTGAACAAAGTCTTGGAATCCAGCTGGTTCTTTTGAGCGAACTGTGAATGATAGGGCACCATGGAAACTCTGTATATCCCAAAATTTCTGAACAGACAGTGATTCAAAATTCCAATGAGATGTAACAATCCACACTTTACCCAAAGGTGGCAATAAAGTCAAAGATGCAACGAAGATTATCAGTCTCAGATTTTGCAGTGATGGATAGGCTCCATATACAAAGCATACATGAACTTTTTGATCCAGAAAAAGTTGATCATATCTTAACTCCATTAAAATCAACTGTATATAATCATCCAGATATGTCCTCTGGGGTGTTCTGAGTATGAAAGCATAACAAATGTTGTTTTGGGAAAGCAGCGGTACAATTTTCTGCAAAAACATATCCCCATAATCATCATCCACAGCCAAGAGCCCAATCCATGTCCATCCAAAATGCTGAAGTAATCGGATAACCCCAGTGTACTGATAGACTTCATTTGGGACCATCTGGTACAAGAATGGGGAAAAAAAATTGCTACCATATACTGGAGTAAATGTTCCATAAGCAAGCTGAAAGGAAATATATAGCAAATAATCAGAAGGATTAAGAGAGAATATTAACTACTGTTCATCTTTAAATGAAAACTAAATTTTTATCTCTTTTCATGGATTTTTTTTGTTGTTGTTGTTAGTTTTACTTTCAGGTCAAAGTCCATCAGAGTTGGGTGGCTAGAATAAATTTAAATAAATAAATAAATCTGATGCAGAATAAGGCTACTTAATTTTCCTTAAAATTAAATACCGCATATAGCATCTCTTAGATCAGCTACAAAGATTGTCAGTGTTTAAATGTAACAAAAGAAAATGCCAGCATTTTCAACTTGTACATTGTGTAAAAATAGCAAAACACCCTGCCACCAAAGAAAGAGGTAGAAGTCATATACAATTCTATTCACAGAGGATGACATTATGGAACATACGTATCTCTCTGCTCTGGGAGCTTGAAGGAACCTAGACCCTACATACCATTCTGATAGATTCTAAGATCATGTTTGATCACCTCAGAGCTGATGGACTGGTTTGGAAAGAGACAGTGTCTTGCTTTGCAGTACCCTAACCTGTCTGGAACAAATTACAAACAGGTGTTTGCCATCCTTCATCACTTTTGAGGGGACTGCAAAGAATCTTCAGGTTTTAAATATTTAATTATCACTATAGTTTATTCATATTTATATTTATTGAATATACAATACTCTATTCTCCTCATCTTGTGAAAGTTTTAACTCTGAAAACACCCTCAAGTCCTTTTAAGAAATTAAAT